CAGGTCGAGGCTGCGGTGGCCGGGAGCGGCCACTGCACTCCAGTCTGGGTGACAGAGTGAGACTCCAACTCAAAAAAAAACAAACAAAACAAATCAAAAAGGCCATGTAATTTTCTTTAAAAAAAAAAAACAAAAACCTAAAATGACCAGTTTAATGCCTACAAGGCACTGAATCCCATGATTAACTTACTACTTTTATAATTATTCCTATTTATGACATCTTTCCCAAGATACCTCACAACTATAACATGTTTCACTGACTCAAATAGCTTTATCATAGAAGACATACCCTCTTGATCGAGTAATAATGGAATGTGGTTTGTCGATTGGGACTTCTGTGATTCCCACCTTTAAGTAGATGTTTTGTTTTGTTTTGTTTTTTTAGAGACAAGGTCTCACCAAGTTGCCTGGTCTGGTTTTGAACCCGCGGGCTCAGACAATTCACTCGCCTCCACCTCCCAAAGTGTTGGCATTACAGGGTGAGCCAACAAGCCCAACTGATGTTCTTTTTTTACTTGTGAAACTTCATATTGTCTCTAGAGATTTTTAAGATATTTCTTGACTTCCAAACACTCACACACATACATACATACATACACACACCAGAATCGCTACCCAACTACTCATGAAATCTTTTCATTTCTTTTTGGTTTTATTTTCTACTTTCTACTTTATTTGCCCAGCTATCTTAAGGCTTCTTGATATACCAGCTTACATTAAAAAGAACAAAGTTATCCGTCAGTTTAATTCATTATCCTAAAAAGTACTTTTGTAGTTTGTTAAAATTTAGCTTAGCAGAGATACTTAATTTATAAAATTATTATCGACCAATAATAGTATAAGAAATTAGTTCCCTAAGTGAATATTGTATTAGATGTTTGCCATACATAATTCAGAAGGTGGATTTTTCTTATATATTTGAAGAAACACATGAATTTTATGTTGTACTGGATAGAAGCTTGGAAACAAAGTAATTTGCCTAAAATAAGAATTTTAAAAGGTATTTTATAAATGATGCCTATATGGTATTCATTCATTCAACAAAACTTATGTGGAAGTCCTGCTTTGTGACACGTGATTTGCTAGATGCTGAGGATATTTGGCCTCTGCTGGAGCTCAGAGTTGGAAATAGAGGGGTGTCGATATGCAATATATACTGGGACTGAAATGACGGAATGGACGTTTCTGCTTAGAATAATCACGAAAGCACAGAAAAGTGACACTTGTGCTGAGTATTTAGAAACAGAAGTTTTCCAGCTGGATTGCGTAGAGGGACTCTCCAGGACAAGAAATGGAGTAGAAAAGGAGCAGCAAATGGCTGAGAATATTAAATAACCCAGTATACCTAGATCTCAGCAAGGAAGACATAAGCTGGAGAGATAAGCAGGTACCCTCTCTTAAGTGCTTTATAGTATTCCAACGTGAGGACTTTGAACTTGCTTATGTAAAGCTGGAACAATTGAGAAGGTTCAACATATTCAGATTTCTTTTTCATAAAGATGACTTTGTACAAATTCCAAGGGATAGAGTAAGAAAGTTGAGGCTAATAGGTAAAAAGATTTGTAAGATTGTTGTGAAAGAAAGGGAGCAGTTGTTGGGAGTCAGGTGTGAGGGTAATGGTAGTAATCAGCAGAGAATATAGAAATGAAAGTAGATTTATGCTAAAATTCCCAGGTTTTTGAGGATGACTGTAATTCATGGATCTGTTGGGTTTAAAGTTACAGTTCGGGTTAAACAAATGGAACCATCTACCAGACAGTGGATTTAGTAGTGTTATATGTCATAACAAAGAGTTTTGATCCCTTTTCATAATAACTCAGTATTTGCCTATGGTACCACTGGAGCTGGGAAGACACACACAATGTTAGGATCAGCTGTTGAACCTGGAGTGATATATCAAACAATTTTACACCTTTTCAAATGCATAGATGAGATTAAAGAAGAGAAAGTATGTACTACTGCAGTTTCTTATCTGGAGGTAAGTTGGCAGTATCATTGTTTTACATTAATCAGTCGTTTTGTTTTGTTTTATTGTTTGAGTCTGAGTCTCATTCTGTCACCCAGGCTAGAGTACAGTGGAACAATCAAGGGTCACAGCAGCCTTGCCCTCCCCAGCTCAGGCAATCCTTCTGCCTCAGCTTTCTGAGTAACTGGCACTATAGGCACACGCCACCACACTCAGCTAAATTTTTTTATTTTTTATTTCTGTAGAGACAAGGTCTTACTATGTTGCCTAGGCTGGTCTTGAACTCCTGGGTTCAAGCTAGCATGAGCCACCATTCCCAGCCAGTAGTTTAAATCTTTAAGTTACATGATTCACTCAAATTATTTTATTATACAGGAATTTTCTCTTAAGTATATTAAGTCATTAAAATTCCTGGTTTTGAGGATTTGTTATGCATCTTACTCTTTTTCTCTTGTTTTTTTAATGTTAGCATACTTTCAAACTTATAAAGAAGTTGCAAGAATAGTACAAAAAACTTCTAGATGCCCTTCACCCAGATGCCCCATTTTTCAAAATTTTACTAAATTTGCTTTCTTTCTCTGTATGCATGTGTATATATCTCTTTTTTCAGAGCTGTTTAAATTAGATGTGTAAAAATGGGATTTTTAAAAAAATAACCATTGAATAGTTATCAAAATCAGGAAATTAGCAATGATATGATATTATTGTCTGCATACCTTAATAAGATTGGATCATCATGCCAGTAATGCCCTTTATTGAAAAAAAAAACAAAAAACAACTTACATTCAGTTGTTATATCTCTTTAGTTTTCTTAATCTATAATTTTTTGTGGAGTTTTTGTTTTTCCGTATGTTATGATACTCCTAAAATCCTATTTGGGTTTGTCATGATTAGCTTCAGGTTATGCACTGGCAGGAACACCACAGAAGTGATGGTGAGTTCTTATTGCCTCGTATCAAGAGACTTATTTATTTAACTAGTTGGTCCCAATTCTGGCAATATTAACTTTGATAAGTTTTATTATACTAGTCTCTACATGGTTTTTTCACTTTAAAGATACTATATTACCCTTTATAATTATTATGTAACTTGTTTAGTGACAAACTTTCATCTATTAGTATTAGCATCCACTAATGATTCATGTCTGATTCAGTTATTATAATGGTAGATGGTGGTGATTTTTAAATTTCATCATTTCTTCCACATTTATTCTTTGGCTTTCTACTATAAGGAAGGACATGCATTTTTTCTTTACTCAATAGATTACAATTCCTTTCTGTAATCATTTTTTGTATGTTCAGATTGTGTAAGATTTGACCAATTGAGTCTCCTCTGTGTTGTACCTTGTGTCCTTTTGACATACCCCACCCTTCTTTGAGGGCTCTTACCCGTACTAACAACTGCCCTTGGAGGAATGGTGGCTAAGTGGCAGGTAGAGACTCTCTTTACATTCAGGTGGTTTCCAGACACCAGTGCAGAAACATATAAAACTCTGATTTCACTGCCTCCTCATTTCTGGTGTCAGAAAATTTCTCTCATTAATATCATGTCCTTACTAAGAGAGCTTCTTCCATAGACTAAATAAAATCATATATGTTGCTAAAAATTATTCATTAGAACTTAGAGATAAAAGATAAGTAAAATCATTAAAGAATGAGAAGAATTGTTCTGAACTCAATTAGGAAAAGAGGGTGGCAGCACTCATTATTTTTTCCTTGGATCCCTTTATAACTGGGAGAATCTTGAAGTTTGATTATTTTTATAATTTTTATTCATTTTTTTCTTTTAATCTTTTTTTCATTTTATTAATGATGCAGTAATGTCTAATATGATTTTTGACTCAGGCTGTGAGCCATAATTATCTGTGAAACTTTTAACAAATAGATATGCCTAGACCTCACCCCTTAGATGTTTTAAAGGTTTATTACAATTTAATAAAATAGTTAGCATTTGTTGTAGAAAACTGTACTAACAATGAATTACACAGTGGATTGTTTATTAGAACATGGAAGAAAACAGCAAAATAATTTTTGAAGACTTGGTTTTGTTTGTTTTTTTCTTTAGTCTTGTCAGTAATAGTTATAATTGTCATTTGGTTGACAAGTAATATAATTTGTATCTTTAATAAACTTATAAAAATCATGTCAATAATGCTACATAGAAATACGTGTTACTTATAGAAATTGCCTTTTTTTTAATTACCAGAGATAGAAAATGCAAATGTGTATTCAGTATTATGCAGTGGAGTGAGGCCGTCTAGTTCCTATACTGCTATTACTTTTATGACCATGAGCAAATCATTTAACCCCTTAGGTTCTTAGTTTCTTCATCATTCAAATGAAGTGAGGGGTCTCCTTTTGAAATTTATCATTCATAATCTTATATCAAATTTAATATAATTGAAGAATAAATGAAACAAATGCTATCTACCTTTGAATTTGAATTTTCTTTAGCATTTAAGTTCTAAAATTTATGAAGTTTAGAGTATTTGGACGTCACGAAATAATAAATATCTTCTGCGGTAAGATCCATGCCTTCTCCATACAACCTGTATTTCAGTCACCCAGAATTTTCCAAGACCATGCATTCCATGTAATTCCAAGAAACAGAAAAGGCAATTCAGTCATACTATGTATCTCTGTAGTCAACAAGTCAGGAATTATGGAGTGAAGGTATAGTGACTCCACCTTTAAGTTTTAGCTTCAAACCTAAGTAATCAAACTCTTCTATTTTCTGGGATGGTAAGATTAATAATGGTAACATGAGATGGAAGTGGTGAGATGAGCTAAAATAAACTGTTGCTTGTCTTCAGATAAAATTCTAATAACCTTTAAGATAAATTCTAATAACATTTATGACATAATTACCGTTGGTTTTGCATCAATACTAAAGCAGTTCTTTTATTTTAAGGTCTATAATGAACAGATCCGTGACCTCTTAGTAAATTCAGGGCCACTTGCTATCCGGGAAGATGACCAAAAAGGGGTGGTTATTAAAGGGTTGACTTTACACCAGGTAAGTTTATAAAGTCTTTTTCTCCTGTTTAAATAGAAGTATGATTATTTAGCCATTTTCTCTAGCCATTTACTTGCTTTCCATTCTGTTTGAGAAAGGGAAAAAAATGAAGTACACAGTTTAAATGATCAGGGTATATCTTTTGTTTTGTTTTCTTTCACAATAATTAAGTGAGCTTTCCTGTCAAGAATTTGCTTGAACATTTATTGCCATGCATTATTCTGCAAAATACGTATTTATTTAACTTTTTAGAGACTGTATCTTTTTTATAGCACCCAACTACTAAGCAGATGATACTGTTAATATTTAAGAGGATTGAATTTATAGAAAACATTTTCTTACATTTTATTTTACCTGCAAGAATCTTATTTGTTGAAACTTTATTGAAAAATGTAAAGATACATTACTAATTTGTATATTTTTCTCCTACTTAAACTTCTCTAGCCCAAATCTGCAGAAGAAATTTTACAGTTATTGGAAATAGGAAACACAAACAGGATTCAACATCCCACTGATATGAATGCTACATCTTCTCGTTCTCATGCTGTTTTCCAGGTAACAGACCACTAGACCATCACTAAACAAAATCAAATTCATGGATTGTAATTTGTAAACATGAAAAAAAAAAATCTTCACCTGTAGACCTCTTCACTTCTCAATATTTCCATTGCAACTTTGAGAATATTCTGTCGCCAAAAACAAAACTGAGATGACATAAATGACATAAACCAAAAATATAAATTTCCACCTTTGTCAACATAGAAGATGATAAAGTTATGATTTTATTTTGTTTTGTTTTTTGTTTGGTGAAATCATTTAATCTTTCCAATAGATAATCTTATGTTCAGAGTAAAATTTATCTCTATAGATCTAAATTTATAGAACTAATAATTTCGGAAGATACGGATTCACTTTTTTAAAAAGTTCACTGTAAGGACTATGTAAGTAGTTATATTTCTTAGGAGGAAGTATAACTCATTGGAATAATACTTTCTGGGAATAAATTTCCAGAAGGAGCTAAAGCATAAGTTAATAGCTATTATTTCTTATAGTTTCTAGTCTTGTTAATAACCAAATGATAATATAAAGCTTCATTCTGTATTATGCTATATGAAATTCATGTTTCTTATAAGAAAGAAATTGTTAATAGTTGAAAGAATTACTATCAGAGACAATCCATTCATATAGTCTCTAGTGCACAAAAATTTCATTCATCTGTTCTTACCACTGACTCTTCATTTATCAGTAGTCTTAAGCAGAAGGTTTATCTGTGACACGGAATTCCCTGAAATGTCTTATACCTTGCTTTATTAGAAAATTTAATAAGAGGGTTTTATAATGGAGTAATAGCTTCCCTTTCTCATTTTAAGTTGTCACCTAATTTATTCCAGTTAAACTGCTACAAAGTAGCTTAAAAGAGTTGAATAAATTATGCTTCACCTAGGCAGTCGAAAATGACAAGTGTACTTTATTACACAGTCATGTGCCACATAACATTTTAGTCAACAATAGGCCTCATATTCAATGGTAGTCCTGTAATATTATGGGGCCGAAAAATTCCTATTGCCTAATGGTGCATCACTGACATGTTTGTGGTGATGCTGGTGTAAACAAACTTGGACTCCTAGTCATACAGATGTATATATAGCATGTACAATTATGTACAGTACACAAGACTTGACATTAAATGACTGTTACTGATCTTTTACTTACTAAAGAAATTCCCTGTAAAGCATCATGCCTTGTTAGGCTGGCAGCAGCCTAATACGTCCTGTTTTTACCAAGTCTTGATCGCATCATTTTCTCTTGTGCCTCATTTATGATGTTTGCACAATGACAAAATCACTTAACAGTGCATTTGTCAGAAAGTGGCCCTGTTGTTAAGTGATGCATGACTGTACTACCTTTTTTATATACAATATTTTCTTAATTATAAGTACATACAACAGTTTTGAGGATTAAAATAAATTTACTCTTCAGTTTGGGTCAAGATTCAAATTCAACTTTCTTTTGAAGGCTGTCTATGGAGACATGCAAAGTACTCTGACCACTACCTTTGTTTTTTGCTTAAGAACATTATTTCTGTAGGACCTGGGCTCCCACCTTCACCTCTGTTAATTCCATGTTGTGGTTTAAGGGGTTCCAAAATGTAAATGGTAGTTGCTTTGACCTTTTATCAGGCCACAAGTTATTGTCCCTCTGACACACATCTCAGAAGTCTTTTCATTTTTATGTTTTTCTCAATTTTAGTAATTACTTCCAGTGCTCTTAAATATCAGTTGGGTTATTCCTTGTTCTGTTTGTTTTTAACATGAAAATAATTTTGATTTTATATATTTTTTTAAATAAAGTATGTTTTTCTTTTAATTTTGTTAAATCTTATTATTTTTTTCTATTCTGTAATTTCGAAAAGATTCATCTGCGACAACGAGACAGAACAGCAAGCATCAATCAAAATGTGTGCATTGCCAAGATGTCACTCATTGACCTGGCAGGATCTGAGCGTGCCAGTGCTACCAGTGCTAAGGGCACCCGGTTTGTAGAAGGCACAAATATCAATAGATCACTTTTAGCTCTTGGAAACGTCATTAATGCTTTAGGAAACATGAAGGTTGGTTACTACATGTTTATTTGTTAAAAATTTTGAAATATTAAAACATATAATCCTAGATCATTGCTTTTAATATAATTTTTTAAAAGGTATAATACAAATCAAATTTCAAGAATGTGTCTATAATATTTGTATACAGATCAAAAACCTCAGAGAACCTAATCTGTTAAATAAAACTGGTTTTGGGAGGGATTTTTTTTATTCCAAGTTTTATAATCAGATTGATAGTTAATTCTCATCACTTATTTTGAACCTGGTTTTTAAGGTGTCCATTTAATTATCACTACACAGCAAGCATGACCATTCAGTTGACTGTACTGGTTAGTATATACTGTTATGTATTGTTAAATTGGTTTAAGTATTAAAGAGTTGATTTCTTTTCTTTTTCTTTTCTTTTCTTTTTCTTTTTTTTTTTGAGTTATAGTCTCTTGAAACCTACACTGGAGTGCAGTGGCATGCTCACAGCCACCACAGCCTCAACCTGCTGGGCTCAGGTGATCCTTCCACCTCAGCCTTCCAAGTAGCTGGAACTACAGACACACGCTGCCACACCTGGCTAGTTTTTGTGATTTATTGTAGAGACAAGGTCTCACCAAGTTGCTGGGCTGGTCTCGAACCCCCAGGCTCATGCAGTCCTCTCGTCTCAGCCTCCCAAAGTGCTGGGATTACAGGCTGAGCCATCGCACCTAGCCCATTTTTTTCTTCTTAAGAAGGGCTTAAGAAATAAAGTGTAATTAAATCACCTAATTGAATAATGTTTATCGGATGCTTTGTGCAGACTTAAGAATATTTTACATATATACCAGATGCTGATAATGCTTACCTAGAACATAGTATATTTGATAACTTAATGTATTTATAAAAATGACCTCCTTTCTGAAAAAATTATGGTATGATAATTTAAGTTAAATCACATTCAAAAGCTTTAGGAAAATTACTGTTAAACTGCTTTAAAATGTTACTCTTTTATTTAGAATAGAGTATAATAAAATGATTGGGGAATTTTTTTTCTTAAAAAGTCACGCTGCCAAAATCATATGAAGATTACAAAAACAAGATGTCTTTATATTCTAAGCTAAGATCTCAAACATGTAATTAGGGATCATGGTACAGAGACTGATTTTGTAAACTTAAGCCATTTGTAGAATTTTTTGCCATATGCACTAATACTTAACTTTATTTAGAATAACTCCTATTGAGTCATTTCTGAGTCAGTGTTTAATGCATGTTTTATACATATAAATCATTTCAGGTAGCAACAGCAGTGCACATTGCGTACTGTTTGGGAAAGACTGCTATGGTGGAGAGCACCTTGCTACTGGGAATTGGAGAACCTAGAATCTATTTCTGACTCTGAATTGCCAGCTGTGTGATCTGAGAAAAGTCATTTCACTTTTTGCTTAGCTTCAATTTCCTCTTCTGTAACATGAAAGATATACATGAATAGCATAAGGTTGCTTTCAGCTAAACATTATAATGAGCCTGTTTTTTTATATAAAAGAACATTGTACTTTTTGGAAATTTTGTTACTTTAAAATCAGGGCTATATCTTTAAGTAAAAGAAAAACTTGAAACTGGATGCGGTGGCTCATACCTGTAATCCTAGCACTTTGGGAGACTGAAGCAAGAAGATTGCATGAGCCCACAGGTGTGAGACCAGCCTGGGCAACATGGCAAGACCTCGTCTCTACAATAAATTTTAAAAATTAGCTGGGTGTGGTGGCATGCACCTGTAGTTCCAGCTACTTGGAAGGCTGAGGTAGAAGGATCACCTGAGCCCAGCAGGTTGAGTCTGCAGTAGCCGTGAGCGTGTCACTGTACTCCAGCCTGGGCGACGGAGTGAGACTCCAACTCAAAAAAAAGAAAAACTTGAAAAATTAAGTTCTCTTAGAACTCCATTGTGATTTCAAATGAAGTGTCTGTAACATTGTAATTATAACTTATTTTCTATCTATGTTAGAGGTTTGTTTAAGGAGAGAAATAGCTCTTTGCCATGCAAAGTTGTATTATTCCTCTAGTGTATTCCTTTAGGGTATCTATCCATTCTCTTTTGTATTTTTTTAAGGAATGGAAATATTTTTAAGTAGACATTTTCAAATAGTTTTAGATTTATAGAAAAGTTGCTAAATAGCCCTTAAAGATCTAAGTGTGCTCCACTCCCAGTGTCCCCTGTTGTTAATATTTTACATTAATGTACTTATATTACAAATAACTAGCCAATATCGATACTTATTTTTATGAACTGAAATTCCTGTTTACTCAGATTGAGATATATCTTTTAAGTAGGATATTTATTTTGTGTGTTCACTGAATGATCCTATAAGATTCATTGTAATCATTTCTCTTTTTAATTTTTAATTTTAAAGATGTGGGGTATAATTCAGGGTTGGATATACAAATGTTCATTACCCTTATTGATGAGATGTTGCTCCCCCTCCCCCTACAGATTCAATTACCAATTATAAGTCTTGGCAAAGATTAGTAGTGACATATATATGTCAGTTCTTACAATGAAGTGGTAGCAAGTTTTCATTCAAATGCAGAAAATGACATAAGAATTCTTTTTTTGTTCTTGCAGAGGAAGAATCAGCATATTCCTTACCGAGACAGTAAGCTTACTCACTTGTTAAAGGATTCTCTGGGTGGAAACTGTCAGACTATAATGATAGCTGCCGTGAGTCCTTCATCTATGTTCTATGATGACACATACAACACTCTTAAATATGCTAATCGTGCAAAGGACATTAAATATTCTGTAAGTGTGTTTACTCTGCCTTTGTGAAGGTGTTGGTTGCATATAATTTTCTTAATTGTAGTTGTGTTTCTTCTAATGAGCTAGGCAGCTGAGTGTTAGGAATGTCTTTACTAGTCAGATTAATTGAACATTAATTAAGACAGCTAAACCATTAACCATCTTGATTGTATATATAAAACAGATATGATTATACAATCTTTTGGGTGCTAGGGTACTTTAATACCTTTCAACCTGTTTCATGTCTTGGTATGTGATATTTAAATGGTACCTTGAAGTAATCGGTCAAGGCTTTAACACAATTGTCACAGCAAAGGATGATGCTCTGCATTATCTGAGAACCAACATTTTCTGCCTGAAAACCTTGGACGTGTTAGTTAATCTCCCCAAGCTTCAGTTACTTCATCTGTAAAATAGTTATAATATCTTCCACGGCTCATTAAATAAATAGTATTTTCTAAATAATTTATTCTCACATTCATGATGTTGATGTACCAGTCTCTATATATCTCCAGAAATATAATAATAAAGATGGTTAGATCAGTGTTTTTGCCAAAGATTTGGAGTACTTTAAAAATATATGTCAGAATATGACTTATGTTTAAAATCACAGTATCTCATGGTTGGAAGAGACCTAGAGTTAAACTCCTATGGTGACTTCTTGCCTTTGCTACGCCAATTAAGTGCCTGAAGATGAGCGGGTCATTATCATGAGAGAAATGTTCAAATGCTATTTATATAATTAATTGCCAGAGTTTATACTATATGGATATATAAGGGTTTCTCATATAATCCTTATACCACCCCATTGAGGAAGGCATTTTTAATTTCACTTTACAGCTGAGTAACCCAAAACCCACAGCTGTTTGAAGTCAGGTAAGTCAAAAATGGACAGGACCTCAATGTCAAGTATTTGGACTTATATGTGTAATGTTTTCGTCACTATTCCATAGATGACAGGGGGCCCACACTGTTATAAAAAAGATAAATTATAATAGGAACTCAGTAAAAACTAGTTGAACTCATGAATGAGTGGAATATAAAATTATCTCTGAAATTTGTAGAAGTTGGAGGAAAAAATAGAAGATTTTTATTATATTGTGAATGCATGCCTCAAAATACCTTTTCTCAATACTTTTTTTGTAATTTTTTTTATATTATTGTGCTCAGCAAATTCTCTTTTAAACATGAGCATAGTTGTTCATGATTGTCCCATGATCATAATTATCAAAAATTCTGAATTCACAGAACTCAGTTAATGGGTGTAATACCCTTTTGTTTTTGTATATATCTGTGTTATTGTTTTTATATACAAAGTCATAATTTCTATCTTTCAACAGTTGAAGAGCAATGTTATTAACATAGACAATCATATAACTGAATATGTGAAGATCTGTAATGAACAAAAGGCAGAGGTAAGTCTATTGTTTATATTTTCATATTAATCTCCCCCAGTTCCTCATTTATAATATTTTGTAATCCTAATTGTCCAAATATATAACATATTCTCCTATTAAAACTGGAATCTGGTTAATTCAGTTATTTTTCATTGCTAAAATTTTGCTGTGGCCATGTATAATGGAGACAATAACTTATTTTATGTTTTAAGTAGTGATTTCTCTCTACTAGATTTTATTATTAAAGGAAAAACTAAAAACCTATGAAGAGCAAAAAACCTGTACTGATGAAATTGACAGGGTAAAGTCAATGACGTCAAACTCTCAGGAAAAAGAACTTAAAAGGTAAAAATGACACTAAGTTCTCATTTTTGGGGTGAATTGTTTCAATTTTGGTCAAATATTTTATGTTAATTATTTTTTGTTGTGTCTTACATATATACATATATACACATACAAATATAACTCGGAGATATTGTGGCCTCAGCTCCAGATCACTGCAAAGAGCAAATATCATAATGAAGCGAGTTGCATGGATTTTTTGGTTTCCCAGTGCATATTGCAGTTATGTTTATACTATACTGTAGTTAATTGTGTACTAGCATTATGTTTAAAAAGACAGTGTACATACCTTAATTTTTAAAATGTTTTATTACTAAAAAATGCTAACAATCATTTGAGTTTAATCAAGTCATAATCTTTTTGCTGGTGGATGGTCTTGCCTGTTGATGATGGCTGCTGACTTATCAGGAAGGTGGTTGCTGAAAGTTTGGGTGGCTGTAGCAATTTCTTAAAATAACAATAAAGTTTGCTGCATCAGCTGACCCTTCCACCAGAATGTCTTCTATAGCATGTGTTGCTGTTTGATAGCATTTTATTCACAGAAGAACTTTCAACACTGGAGGCATTCCTCTCAATCCCTGCCATTGCTATCTCATCTAAGCTTATGTAGTATTCTGAATTCTTTGTCATTTCAACAATGTTCACAGCATCTTCATCAGGAGTAGATAGTAAACTGTCTTGAAAACCACCTTATTTGCTCTTTCATGAGAAACAAGTTCTCATTCACTCAAGTTTTTATCATGAGACTGCAGCAATTCACTTAGTCACATCTTCAACTTCTGATTCTAATTGTCTTGCATATTCTCTACATCTGCAGTTAGTCCCTCCTCTGAAGCTTTAATCCCCTCATGAGAGCTGGGCTCAAATTCTTCCATATTCCTATTAATGTTGAAATTTTGACCTTCCTTCACAAATCATTAATGTTCTTAATGCTATCTCAATTGGTAAATTCTTTTCAGAGAGTTTTCCATTTATTTTGCCCAGATTCATCAGAGGGGTCAATATCTTTGGAAACTATAGTCTTACAAAATATATTTCTTAAATAAGAAGGCTTGAAAGTCAGAATTACAATTGATTCATGAGCTGCAAACTGGATATTGGGTTAGCAGCCATGAAGACATTTACTTCCTTGTGGATCTCCATCAGTGTTCTGGGGTCACAAGTTGTGTTGACAGTGACCTGTGTTATTTTGAAGGGAGTGTTTTTTTTTTTTTAAGTAGTAGATCTCAACAGTGAGTTTAAAATATTTAGTAAACTGTGATACACACAGATGTGCTGTCATCCGGGCTTTGTTGTTTTATGCATATAGCACAGACAGAATTAGATGTACCATAATTCTTAATCATTCTTAATTCTAGGATTTTCACAATGGTAAATGAGCACTGGCTTCAATGTCAAGTCACCAGCTGCAATAAATCCTTACAAGAGAGTCAGCCTGTCCTTTGAAGCCAGGCACTGGCTTCCACTCTGTAGCAGCGAAAATATTAGATGGCATCTTCTTCCAAAAGAAAGCTGTTTCATCTCCATTGGAAATCTCTTGTTTGGTGTAGTCACCTTCATCGTGATATTAACTAGACTTTCTGGGTAACTTGCTGCAGCTCCTGCATCAGCACTTTCTACTTCACCCTGTACTTTTCTGTCATGGAGACGGCTTCTTTCTTTAAACCTTAAGAATCAACTCCTGCTTGTCTCAGATTTTTCTTCTGCAGTTTCCTCACCTCTCTCAGCCTTCATAGAATTGAAGAGGCTTAGGGTGTTGCTCTGAATTAGACGTTGGCTTAAGGGAATGTTGTGGCTAGTTTGATCTTCTATCCAGACCACTAAAACTTTCTCCATATCAGCAATAAGTCTTTTTTACTTTCTTGTGATTCATGTGTTCACTGGAGTCGCATTTTTAATTTCCTTCAAAAACTTTTTTTTTCCTTCGTAACTTGTCTGGTACAAGAGGCCTAGTTTTAGCCTTTTTCGACTTTTGACATGCCTTCCTCACTAAACTGAGTCATTTCTAGCTTTTGATTAAAAGTGAGAGAGGTGTGCCTCTTTCTTTCACATAAACACTTAGAGGCCACTGTAGAGTTATTAATTTGCCTGATTTCAATAAGGTTATTCTCTGAGAATAGGGAAGCCCAGGAAGAGAGACCAAGATGGGGAAACATCCATTCAGTGGAGTAGTCAGTACACATGAAATTTGTCAATTATGTTCTATGTTTTATACGTGTGCAGTTTGTAATGCCCCCCAAAAATTATGATAGTAACATTTAACATCACTGATCATTATAAAGGTTATAATAGTAATAAAAAAATTGGAAGTATTGCAAGAATTTCCAAATCATGACACAGAGACACAAAATGAGCACATGCTGTTGGAAAAATGGTACCGATAGACTTGTCGGTTGGAGGATTGCCGCAAACCTTTAATCTGTAAAAAAAGCACATTATCTGCAAAGCACAATAAAACAAAGTATGCCTGCATATATATTCTCAATTGAATTTAGGAAGTCATTGATTACTCTTAATATTGTTGCACACTTTAGAGAGTAATTTTAATTTTGAATGTTTCCTAGCTTTGACCCCTTTCTCTACCTCGGGGAGGTGAATCTCCTCTTTCTCTCTCTCTCTGTCTCTCTCTCTCTCTCTCTCTCTCTCTTTCTGTCTAATTTCCTTTCTAAATAAACTATATTTCTAAACTAAAAAAGAAAAAATTTAATTTTGATTTCATGGATAGTAAGAAGAACCAGAACTTAGGTATAAGACATAAAGTTAAATTTTAGTGGAGTTCATATTGTTCTTTTCTAACATCATTATTTGTATAGTTCGTGTCAACCTGCTTTTTTAAATTGATTATTTATACAGTAATATATATATGAATCCACTTATTGAGTTTTAATGGTAAATTATTTGACTGAACATCCCAGTGATATAATTTGATAAAAAATGTTGATGAGTTCCCATTAAGCTTCTTAGCAAATAAATTTTTAAATAGAAAGTAGTTAATAATATAGTACTCTTTTCCTCAACCTGTTAAAACAGTTTTCCAAATTGACCCATTGGACCACTGGACCAAGATGTTAATCTTGAGTAGTTCTAGGAAGATAGCAAGGAATTTCTGTACTGAATGAGTTTGGGAATCTCTTTACTTAAGGAGTCTAGGAAATTTAAAAAATGCATGAGTATATGAAAGGCTTTTTGAGAACTCCTGTGGTAAAGGAATCCATTCAATTTTGATTAAAGCTGAGTGAAATTAAACTTCTTTGCCATCCTTTAGAAAATTGTACAAAAACTTACTACAATGTAAAACAATGGTTAGTGTTTTGGAACTCTAAGGTTATAGAAAGGATCTTGGTATCCATAAGGAAAGCAGGAATATTGCAGTCTGCGGTGATTTTCAACTTAGATTCAGCTATGAGTTTTTAAAATTGCATTTGTGTGTTGACATTTTACATAAAATATCCTTAATTGGCAAAAAAAAAAAAAAAAAAAGTTACTTTGCCTCGATTGGCCCTACATGCAAAGGTAACTACTTCTAATGTATTTTCATATATGACCTTGTAGTTTTTGATGATTTTTACACTTATTGGTTTCATCTGATCAGTATAACAACTCTTTGAAACAGTGTTAAGGCATATATTTCCTCACTTACAGGAAAGGGCAAGAACTGTCATCTCTTTCAAGTCTTAATTATTGTGTTTTCACATTATGCTAGTTTGCAAACATCATAAGTAATCATGACAGTTATTTCTATCATTGACAATCAGTTTTTCATATAACTTGAAGTTGGCCTATATATATTTACTGTGCAAGAGCCCTGTTTACGTTGGAGATTTTCTAGTATATTTGTCTTTTTCTATTAATTACCCTAACAAATAATTTCAAGATTAAATTGTTTTATTAGTCCTATGATGTTTCTTTTATTTCCTACCCATTTTATAGTGTTTTAAAAAGTAAGTTAAATAAATGTGATTTCTCATTACTTAGTTTATCTCATCAAATAAGCTTTTATTAGTTATTTCCCTTTGTTAGTCAAATGCGGAAGTGTTCCTTGTGTATCCAGTTAACTTTGTTTTAGAAGCCACCAGCTTCTCAAAGTTGTAGTAATTGATTCTATAGACTTGCTCAGCAATATTTAACCAAAGTCTACTTTACTAATTATAACCTTATAGATTAGTGAACTTTTCTGGAGTTGATGGCTTTAAATTATTGAGCTTTTGTTCTGGTAAAATGATTCAGGGGAAAGATGGCCTGAGCTATGAAATAAACATTTATTTAGATGTTTTTCATATTTCAACATGATTTTTGACCGACAATACAAACTGATTTTAATTCTGGCAACATGTTAAATAATTTACTTGTGTTATAAAGAAGATAATGATAAAATTCTGTACCCTATAACCTTTGTCATTTTCCCTTGAGTAACTAACCTCAAAAAGAAATATATGAAATATCTTTTATTATATCAATCATACTCTTCTGTAGAATTTTTTAATGCCATGAATTTTCAAAGTTTTTTTTGTTTGTTTTTGAGTTGGAGTCTCACTCTGTCACCCAGACTGGAGTGCAGTGGCCGCTCCCGACCACTGCAGCCTTGACCTGCTGGGCTCCAGCGACCCTTCCGCCTCAGCCTTCCAAGTGGCTGGAACTACAGGCGCATGCTACCACGCCTGGCTAATTTTTGATTTATTGTGGAGATGAGGTCTCGCCAAGTTGCCCAGGCAGGTCTTAAACCCGTGGACTCAGGCAATCCACTCACCTCAGCCTCCCAAAGCACTGGGATTACAGGCTGAGCCACCGAGCCCGGCCTGTTTTTTTTTTCCCTAAGACTTAAATAGCAATTGTATGATGTTTAAACATATAAGATGAAGAATATACAGTATTTACAGTCTGTCAAAGCTATTTGGAAAGATAATATTCAAAGGAAAATCATAAAAAGAAAGTAAAATTGTTCTTTGTAAAGAGTAATCATAAAATTTCACTTGTGGCTATTCCAAGAAAGTTTTGTAGAGTTAACCATTATGTATCACCTAAAGATACTGATGCAATTTTTTCCCCACTTAGCGTGAATGTTTTCTTAGTACTCTTTTCATTTTAAAACTTAATCGTTTTTTAAGAAGGAGCTGTGTAGAAACCTTTTATACTAATTCTCTTATTTCCATCCTAGTCAGTAAACACCACCAACTAAAATAGGTCTGAACTACAATACTGACATATATTTAAGTTTGCCCTTGGATAAAAAGTTAGAGAAAAACTAAGAAATTATCTTTAGGTATAACCTAAAGATAACTTATCAATTCATTTACTGGCATTAGCGTTTGTGTAATATAATACAATGAAATTGCGATGCCTGTACATATTTCCTATGAAATATTTATCAGTTTGACAAAACTGCAGTAGAGTTCAGTGTATTGTGGCTTATAGTCATTCCCAGTAGAGTTTCATTAAGAACTACTGACGTAAATTGGCAGTGTTTTTACCGCAAATCTTTGCAAATATATCTAAAATTCTAGCCAAAGAACATTTATTTTTAAATGCATGTATACTTGATTTTATTCTGAAGCCTTCACGGTTAATTTTTCTTTGAAATTTTTGCCTGTGTGTGTCTATACTGTTACTGTAACTCAGAGCTAATCTATGACTTAAAAGCCAAATATATTTTTATAAAATTAAAAATTGCTGGGACCAATATTCTGCTGACCCTGAAGGAAGGATTATATGAATATATAATTGGCTTGAAGTTTTCAGGCATTTGGAAATCTGCATCAAACTCCCCAACTTTGATTGTCTGGATCTGGTCTTTGGAGGAAGCACACTATAGCGTTTTTTCTAGGTTTACCACATTATAAACTTGGATGTTCCAAGTCCTGGCAGTGTCAAGTTGAATCTTAGCCAGTCTGTAGGGGGTACCTAACCGTATGGTGTGTTTTCAGTAAAACAAATTCTGAAGCTAAAAAGTGGCTCTCTCACTTTCCCTAGGGGGCCATGGAGGCACCATATGATTATGCCTCCTACTGCTTATTTCTTCACAGTGAGCCAACACCAAAACAACACATAATGTTATGTTGCTAATAGGGCCTTGTGGATTGGGTTGGTGTTGGTCTGGGTTATCATCCTTTTCCTACAAACATAAAGTATTTTATTTTTGCGAAGGAGTTGGATGACATATAGATGTAAGCATAAATGAAATATAGTATATTATCAATACCAAATGCCTATATCTTTCACTAACATGATCTTCCTTGAGAGGGAGAGAGAGAAACCTAATATAATAAAAATGAAGTTAATAACTTTTCTAAACGTGTGTAACATGAAACAGTCTTTCTTACGAACTTGCTGTTTTTCACAGAGCATAGTCTTGTGAATGTTATGTTTGTTCTTTGGTTCATGCATTTTTAAAAAATAAACTTTGTAGTATTTATCACAAAATTAGTGAGGTTCTGAAATGTGTTTTATTTTTGATAAGGTTTCAAGAAATTCTGAATTGCTTGTTTGAGAACCGACAAGAAATTAGACAAGAATATCTAAAATTGGAAATGTTACTTAAAGAAAATGAACTTATATCATTCTATCAACAACGGTGCCAAAAACAAATAGAAATGATGTGTTCTGAAGACAAAGTAGCAAAGGTATTTTACACTTTAATACATTTTAAGAAAGCATAGAAACATGGGGACTCCTAATTCTAGAATTTTGATAGGCAAAGTTAGTCACCCATTCTTTATAAACACTTGGAAATGCTGGAGGAAATGTAGCCAACATTGTTTTAAATGCTTAGTTAAGTATCCAAGAAAGAAACCTAAATTCCTGAGTGTCAGAAACAAAAAGGAAAGAAAAAAATTCTCAGTTGTAACCTGTTGTTTTTCTGAGGGTTTTAGGAAACTCCCTACATGAGCTTAACACACTCAGAGAGAGTCAGTTGCCATGCAGAGCAATGGGAACAGTTGACCACAGATGCAGGCATTCCTTTACCACTTAGACCTACAATGGTTTTTCTTTTCAGGGAAGAATTTTATCATTAATACTGTTAGAGGGGCCAACGTGTGGTTCTAGTAAAAAGCAGACCGACTTTTAATCAGTCTTACGATTGCTTTGAAATGCAGCAGTGTACTGCCCTCTTCCCCCCACACGTACAGGCCACTGCCACTCTTCTGCCTTCATGTATGCCACTACTTACGTAAGAGACCCAAGAGTTAGAAATGAGATCTCCCATATGAAGACTGAAACTTCAGAGGTCTGTATCCTCCATACTAATACGTGACTAAATGCAGTCATGGGAAACCGATATTGACATAGTATCTAACTTTTAACAAAACTCTTACTGAATTCTTTTGTTTATTTGTAAAACCTTAGGCTTGCCATAATGGAGGTAAAATATGAGACAGTGTCTGCCCTTCAATTATTTACATGCTAGTTGGAGCAATAAAATAAAATTTTTCAAAAAGGCACTATATGATTGTTACCTAAGTGGTAATAATAAAGACAGTATTATTGAACACTATGTGCTAGACATTTCCCAAAGTTCTTTGCATGGATTAATTCACTTAGTATATAACAAGCCATTAGACAGATCCAATATTATCATCATTTTTAAGGAACAAAAGCCCCCAAAAGTTAAGTTGTCTGGAGTTACCTTACCTAATTAATGTGGCTGAACTGATATTAAACCCTGTTGTCTGACTTTAGAGTCTGCACTCTTAATCATTCTGCTCTACTATAAGTACTATAAAAGCTATAGCTATTCAGAAGACAAAACAGTGACTTCCTAATGTGGTGACCAAGAAGAGCTTCCTCGTAGATAGTCAAGATTTGTTATGGGCCTTCCATGAGAATATCAGTGGGAGAAATAGAACAGTAAATTCTATATAGGATATCAGTTTAACAAGAGCAGTGCATATTTGTAGGAAAATATGTATAGAGGTACATAACTATACTCCAAACTTCCTGCCAATACTCAGTCCCTTTACCCATAGCAAGTAGCACTGGTCAATTGCCATATCTGTCTCTGAATCTGAAAGTAACCTGAGCTAACTACTATGAATGGCTTGGAGTTGGCACACGATATACAAGATATTTGCCATATTGGGAATTATTGACAATAGGTTGAGAAGATAGGATAATGGGTCTCATTGTAGAAATATTTGTTGCTAAGAATTTAGAATCTATTTTCGTAGCCAAAAGGCAGACTTTGAAGTAAAGGAGTAGTATAATCAGGTTAGAATCAGAATTCCATTTGTAAACATTCGAGAATCATCGTTTAGTACAATTAATAAGCTCAGTCTGTTTAATCTCAAACAAATTTAGATAATTGTTATTTTACTCTGTCTTAATTCCCCCGCTGAATTTTGAATGTGGATGTCGAGAAAGATCAAAACAGAATAGTGGCATGGGGTTTGACTGGTTTAATTTTAATTTTTTTTAATTTTCATCTGTATTCTTCCATTTAATAGCCTAGCCTTTTTTTCAGCCCAGTTGCCTTTTTTTAAATCTCTTTTTTGTAGCCATTTCATTCCACATGTTCCCAGTTCTTACAGCTATTCTATGAGACTCCATTAGCAGTGGAGATAAAAACTTCTATTTTTTGTAGTTATGTTATTGAAAACATAGGAAGATACCAAGAGGCTGAGTTGTTTTGTTTTGTATTTACATCAACACGTCAAACTGTAGTCTAAGTAAACTGCTTTCTAAGGCAAGGAATTTTATGTTTTAGAGCTTCTCCAAAGAGATATGTTGTTAGAAGTGCTAAAAGCATCTTATCAATGACATTGATTCAACTGCAAATTGTTCTGGAGTATGGACTCTGAAATTCCCATTAAATTGAAGCTCCTGGTTTATTTTATGGTCACATGAAAATCTTTAAAATTATTTTTAATGAAAAAATATGAGTATACCATATTAGGATTTCTGTTGCACAAAAGCATAGTAACACCTAAAATTTTAGAATTAGGTGTTTGTTCTCAAGACTTTTGTGATATTCTGGAGATTTTGTCGGTGAAATATATAAAGCTCTTGAAACTTTTATGGGAAATGTTTTACTTTAATGTGAGGGTTTAACATGAATATTTCAGAATATATTTCCAAACACGTACTTGCCACTTTGGAACAATGCTTTATCCTCATAGAAAATGTCCCCATAGAGAACCATCGAAGAGGATACATTTGATGGACATTAGAATTAAAAAGTCAAAAGTAAACTTTTCAGGGTTTTCAGTTAGGATTTTTCTAGTATTAAATATCGCTGCTATCAGGCCCACAGATTGTGTTTTGCCCTTATTTCAAGAGTCCTAATAATATTTGTAAATGTTAAAGCAAAGTAAAGATAATTTAATTTAGCATCCTGCCTTCAGGCAGGTACAGTATTTTCATCTTCATTTTTCAGATGAAACATCTGAAGACCCACTGAGATTGACTTGTCTAAATTTTCACACTTGCTGAATAGCATAAAAAAGTCAAGAAGTAATACCGCCTGCCTTCTGTTACAGCAGTGGCTGTAAACTTCAAGTCTCAGGACCCTTTTCCACTTTTAAAATTATTTAGGACTTCAAAGGGTGTTTAATTTATGTGGATTTCCTCTACAAATTTTGCTATATTAGAGGTTAAAACAAATTTGTAAAATATATATATATTAATTCATTTAAAATAAGCTCATTGTATGATTACATAAGTGACATTTTGATGAAAAAATAGCTAATTTTGCTTTCTAAAACAAACAAGAATGGGTAGGGAGAGGTAGAAGAATAGCATTGTTTTATATTTTTGCAAATCTCTTTAATGCCTGTTTTTTATATCAGCTGTATTTCTTTATTATTCTGTTGTGATATTATATGTCATTTAGCCTCTGGAAAACTCTGCAATTAACGTAAGATCAAACAAGAATCTTAAAAGCTAATAACTTCTTAGTGTTACTATGAACATGATTTTGACCATGGCAACCCCCAAAAGGATCCCAGGAATCCTTAGGGTTCTGGTACCACACTTGGATAACCTTTTCATCATAGGAAAAAGCACTCCTGTCACTTTGAGTTGTGTTTTGTTTTCTTTTGACAACCCAGATTTTTGTTCGTTTTTTTTTTTTTTTTTTTTGAGGGGCTTTGTTTTATTTTTGTTAATGTCTTACCTTGACAAATAGTGATTGTCAAAAGTATTCACAATATCCATTATGGGTCCTGAACCAAACAACAGGTAAGATCAGATACTGATAAACACTGATATAAACTCTTTCCTATCATTTGTACTGGCCAACTTAAGGCCTTTTGGCAAACACAGAGCAGTAGAACACTTTATTTCTTCACATCTTTCAAACTGTAAAAAAGACAAGAGCAGGATATGTTTCTGCTTTGATTTTGAATAGGGAAATCATGGACGTTATCAGTACTTGTATGAACTTTTCAAATGCAGCATACTAAAGGAATGTATTATAGTACCACAAAAAAGTTATATTCTTTTATTTTGGCCATTGTTGTTCTTAAAGCTATAAAGTCTCAACATGTAATTTTATAAAAATAACTCAGCTCAATTTTCCATTTTCCTGCAAACTGTAGTATTGTGAGATTTCAAGCCTTAAATACAAAAGTATTGCCAAATGTAACTGACTAAAGTAGTACACACAAAATGTACTAGTTTGCTAATATCACATACATTAAGTGGCATAATGATTAGGTTATCTGTTAAATGAATTGTATTTCAGGCCAATTACAAACGAGATCATAAACTTGCAATGTTGAAAAGTCGTCGCTGCCACTTGGAGAGAAAGAAGGAGGAGAAATTGAAGCATTTTGGTGAGAATACTGATTGGCTCCATCGTGTCAAAGAAGAAATGGAGCTTTTAGGTCAAAATGGTCATATTCCAAAGGTACATGTGTGTCTTTATGTTCATCTGAGCTCTTAGAACCTTTCTTATTGAGTAAAAATCTTACAGAAGACTTTTGTTGCTATTGCCCATATCTGAAATTTAACTGACTCATTTTACTGTTTTCAACTGAATATAATTTGTGCTTGCAAATTACCTACTAGATTTGCCTGTACTTTACTAGATTTGCCTGTACTTTAAGAAAAGTTGCTTTTAAATGTTTGTATTCTTAAGTGATGATAAAGTAGCCTTTAAGTTAAAATAAATCTGTTTGAAACTGTACTCATAGATTTATCATATGGATAATTTGTTTTAAATCTTGATCTTTTGTGCAAAAATCATTTTAAGTGTGGTCAGCATTCATTGTATATGGCTAAAGAAAGTATATTTGAAAACTGTGTGTGTGTGTGTGTGTGTGTGTGTGTGTGTGTGTGTGTGTGTGTGTGTAACTGAAGATATTCCACCTTAGAATGACAAAAGTTATATTTATAAAGTGTAGTGATGCATAACAGCTTTATCACATTAGTATTGTGTTCTGCTATGAGAGTATGGTAATCTGACTTTAGTGCCTTAACTAATTTGGGCTGTACTTTACTCTCTTAATAAGTGTTAGAAGTATGCAGTTAGTTCCTAATGCAGTACTTCCAAAATATCATCAGTGTCATCATCATGCTTGTCATTTCATGACTGTAATATTTCTATTTTGTCCCTGGTCATAAGTTTAGACCAGAAGAAGAGGTAAGAAAGGTAGGAGGGATATCTATATCAAGAGAGCCAAGACTTTTTTTCAACAATTCCTAACAGACTAATCTGTTAGCTAGAAATATGTCACATGGCCATCTGTAGATACAAGAGAGTCTGGAAGGATGACTTATTTTTTCATAATCACTGTGAACAAAATTGGAGCTCTCTTAAGAAAAAAGAAGAAAGTCGGGCATCCCCCTTGGGTCCCCTCCCATTGTGGGAGCTTTTCTGTCCTCTCAATAAATCCTGCTTTTAAAAAAAAAGAAAAAAGAAGAAGAAAGCCAATATGGGATAAACAACTAGGACCAACTGCTACAAAGTAATTTTTATCCAAATACCTAACAATTTAAAAGAACAACTCTTTTTCTAAAAGCCAGACCTTCTAAAGTCTTAACTTTGATGATGCTCTTCTGAAACTCTACTTCTGTATCAGCTAATTGTTATTTAACCTTCTAAAATCTTTCAACTTCTAGAAGAGTACCAGACTGAAAATGGAGGTGAAAGAAAATATAAGATATTCAGTAACAATGCAAATGATCTTTAATAGTCAAAGATACTAATTTTTTATAATTCAAAGAAATATTCCCCACAAACAGAATGTGAATATTGGAAAGAGGACAAACTTTGGGGTAGGAGCGTTTGGTAATTCTGATTTGGGGAGTTCTTTGGGTCTCTTTGTGTCCCCCCGTCTGAGTTGCACTGCAGTGGCACAATCATGGCTCACTACAGTCTCAACCTCGTGAAATCAGGCGATCCTTCCGCCTCAGCCTCCCACGTAGCCAGGACTACAGGCGCATGCCACCATGCCTGGCTAATTTTTTGTTTTTTGTAGAGATGAGGTCTCACTTTGTTGCCCTGGCTGGTCTCCTCTCTCCTTGGCCTCACAAAGTCCTGGAATTACAGCCACCACATCTGCCTGATAGTTGTTTTGAATACCAAATCTAACCCTAATTGAATGACTTGGGACAAATTGTTGAACATCGGTGTCTTAATTTCTCACCTTTAACTATATTGAAGGCATTATGAACTTAGATGAAATGTTGTATTTAAAGGTCTAACAGCACCTAATAAATAAAAATACTCTAATAATACTTTAAGCAACAATAATGTCAATAGCATCAACAGCCAACGCAAAGCATACACAGAAGGTGCACAACAGAGTTGGCTGCATTATGTACTGTGTCTTCACTTTCTCTTCCAGAACAGTGATTCTGACCTTTTGGGGGATCCTGACTATGATCAAAGCTGTATAGATTTTCTCCCAGATAGGAGATTGAGGCGGTCACATGCATACAATCTTGTATGTTTTTAAGACATTTAAATTTCCTGAAGCTCTTCTATTGACACAACATTAAGAACATTGACTTCAGAAAGAAAATAAAACATGCTGTCTCCATCTTAAGGTGATATAATGACTTAAAAGGAGTAAGCAAAAAAAGACAATTATTAAAAGATGACTGCTGAAATTCCAGGCTAGTTGAGTCATCTAAAGCTGTACAGCCTCATTCTAGAATGCAGTCTCCCTCAGTACCTGTAAGAATACTGAAACATGACTGTTCTGGATAAAATACTTTCAAAGAAAACAGCTAATAAGCCTGGCTAAGTGAATGTTTGTCATTTAATTCACAAGAGTTGATTCTCTTGGATAGGTAGCAGGTGTTGAATGTTAACAGCACTTTGTTTTAGTTTGTTTCACTTATTTAATTGATGGTTTGGATATCATGTATGTCAAAAGTAGTCATATTCACAAGATTATCATTTTCTAAACTATATAAAAGTATAGGAATTTTGGTTACCATTAATCTTTGCCCTTATTTAAAACTCACTACTTTAATTTCCTTTTCTACTATTACTTATGGCTCTGACATTCTAATAGATTATTTTGCAAAAATTTTCACATAAAAAGTAGTGCAACCCTTTTTCTCTGCCTTAGTCCCTATTACTGGCATAGGAAGTATTAAGAAAAAGAAACAACTTTGAGCCTCTAGAGAATCAGTGGTCAGTTGCAGATTGGGAGGGAAATTTATTAAAACTAATTTTAATATTTGTAGAAGAATCTGAAGTATATTTTGCATTGTTTCTCCTAGCTAAAGCTAAAATGGATTATGGGAATTGTTCCTAGAAGGAAGTTTCCAGGCATAGCACCATTGCATATGGGATTACTGTCACAGCCATTCAAAATGTCCCAGAAAATCTCATTCTTTTTCATTGTATTGACTGAAACTTTCCCAGTTAAAGATTGAGAATGTTACTGAGCTATCACTGTTCCTACTTTAATCACTTAGCAGAGATTTTCTATACGTAAAGTTTAGTAGGCTTGAGAAAAGACAAGTAATTTCAGGTAGTAGATTAGAGGACATCTGGCCTAGGTAGATGAGACTGAGGGACATGCAGCCTACATAAGACTTTTTCACACTGTTGCCTTGGATGATGCTTTTGCCAAGAGTGAGCATGGACAAGAAATTTTTATTACACACAAATCCAGACATTGTATGCTGTAGCTTTAACACTGAACTAATCTGACACAACTTCTGTTCTGGTGACAAACCTTATGTTCTGTTAAAGACAGAGAAACTATAAGCAAATACATAAATGAAATTGTTATGGAGCAATGAATGCTATGATGGTATTGGGTGACCATCTTTAAATACAATGCTGAAGGAAAGACCCCCTGAGGATGAGACATATGAGCAAAATCTGGTCATATTTATATATTTTCACAACATTGTAAACAAGTTGGATAGAGCAAGACACGGTCAACATAGTCAGATTTCTTCTGAACTTCTAACATTCAGTTTCTGAAGAAATTTGAAGCCTTATTTTGCTTATAATTTGTAGACTACCTACACTAGAACTTTTATTTTTCAAATTATTTCTGAACATTTACTACCTAAAAAAAAAAATGAAACTGTTGGTACCAGTTTGATTATAACTTCCTTTATTAAAAAGAAAAAGTACAATTTAATATTTTAAAGGAATCTGAAGTATATTTTGCATTGTTTTCCCTAGGAACTCGATCAAGATCTTCACTGTCACCATTTGCACCTCCAGAACAACGATTTGAAAGCACAAATTAGTCATATGATAGATCTTGCTTGCCTTCAAGAACAGCAACACAGGCAGACTGAGGCGTAAGTACACATGGTACTTTTAACACTGTAGATAAATACTTGAAGCATAAAAGTTTACTTTTCCACTGCCAGAAGACTGAATTTCATCTTGTATGGGATACGCTTTGTTAAAGTGTCTGCCAACATCTGAAAACATTGTGAATATAAAAGAAGTCATGCTTCTCTTCCAAATCATTTTTATAGTACTTTATAGTTTTAAAAATATTTGTATTGGGACTGGACGTGGTGGTTCATGCTTATAATCCTAGCACTTTGGGAGGCCAAAGTGAGAGGATTGCCTGAGCTCACGGGTTCAAGAACAGCCTGGGCAGCTTGGCAAGACCTCATCTCTACAATAAATCAAAAAATTAGCCGAATATGGTGGCATGTGCCTGTAGTTCCAGCTACTTGGAAGACTGGGGTGGAAGGATCACCAGTGTCCAGCAGGTTGAGGCTGCGGTGGCCATGAGCATGCTACTGCACTCCGGCCTGGGCAACAGAGTTAGACTCCGACTCAAAAAAAAAAAAAGTATTTCTATTTAAAAAGTGTTATTTTTACTGAATATATGCTGAGTGATACAAAATTTCATAAATGACCTATACAACAAAAAGGTGTCAGTTTTCTACCTCTGTCCCCCAGTCATCATCTCCCCTCTTGGAAGCAGTTACCATTAACACCAATGGAATTTTTAAGTAGGCAATTGTGAATTATTCATAATTCAAGAATTATCTTTGCTATAATTATAATGAGGATGCTGAATTATCAGGTGTCCTTATTTTTATGTGATACTGTGGCAACTCTTTCTACTCTCTACTAGTCTTAGTCATTTAATTTTTTTAAAATAGCAGTTAAAAAAAGTAAGACTTAATTGTTTGTGTCATCTTGGATAAGCCAGTCGACTCCTTAGGCATCACTATGATACTCTGTAAAAATGGGAAATTTATTTCTCTAGGGGCTTTCTGCCACCCTAGCAATCTATTGGTGTTATACTAGTGTTCTCAAGTAAATGTTAATTAATTTTCCTTATGTTTGATTTGGAGGAAATCATATTACTATAGCTATTTTAAAAAATAAGATGAAAAAGAAAATTAAAAGCTTCAAGGAGGTGCTCTTCTGTGGATGAAAGCCAAACTAATCAATCCATGCTTTCTATATTTATACCTAGAGCAGACACTGAATATTCATTTACTAGCCTTCAAACCACCTGTGCGAGCTGAAGTCCTCAAAGAAACATTAATGTCTTCTAACCATACTATATTTGCTATGTTAGACACATAGATAGTACAATTAAGACAAACTTTTACATCTTAAATTGGGGTAAAAAGGACTCTGACTAACTTATTTTGAAAATTGGTGAACCAGAGCATCATGTAGGCACTGTGACATAGTCAAAACAGTATGAGTTTTAAAATCAGTCTTGAATTCTACCTTTATAGCAGCATAACCTTGCCTTAATTATTTGACCTCACTAAGCATTAGTTTCCTTATATATAAAAACAGATCATAATACATTTCGTATAAAGGTTTTGAAGACCAAATAACATAAAAATACATGATATGCTACACAGTTCCTGTGTCATGGGTACCTAAGACCACTTTCAGGTTCAGTGATCCACGTGGAAGACTCACGGGACTCCTCATATAATTGTACTCACAGCTATGATTTATTGCAGCAAAAGGGTACAAAGCAAAATCAACAAAGAGACTCACAGGACAGAGTCTGGAGGACACCAGGCACAAGGTTTCAAGGGTCTTCTTCCTGTAGAGTTACATAGAATTTGCATTTTTCCTGCAGCAAAAAGTTGTGGCAGCACATGTGAAAGGTCTACTTTGGAAGCTCTTTAGAAACTCAGTGGCCTACATTTTTTCTTGGGAGCTGGTTGCATGGGCATCCTCTGTCTTGCATGTACCAAAATTCCAGATTTTTCAGAAGGAAAGCAGGTGTTCAGCATAAACCACATTGTTTATACAAACAGTTTAAGCACAGCAAGCTACTCTTGTCATATCGGTTCCAGAAATGATGGGAACCCTCGCAAAATCCAAGTTTCAAGATGCCAGCCAGGAGCCAACCATGCAATCAAGCCTCTCTTAAACAGGGTCCCTACTATGTGAGCTCTTCTGCACAGCACCTGATTAGTGTAGATGCTCAATAAACAATTGTTTTATTGACCTTTTTATTAAAAGCTTTTCTCTATACTTGTTACCTACTTGCCTTAAATAGAGGTCCCCCCACAAAAAATAAAAAGATTTCAGATTACTTGTACAACTGGGCAGGCCACTACTTACAATTAGATATTGTTTGTGTGTGTGTGTGTGTGTGTGTATTTGTTTTAATGTTATTTGCCTAAAATATTGAGTTTCATCATTAGACATAGTGTATTAACTTTTCATTTCAAGCCCATGATAATAATAATAACAAATAATGTCTGTGGTTTGGAAATCACATTATGTTTTGCAAAAAACTTTTATGTATGTTTAACTCATTTAGTCCTCAAAACAATTTCCTTTTGTAAGTAGTGGCTATCCAGTTATCCCGACATTATAGAGGAAAACCTTCGGTTTTTGCCTGGTGCAAGGTTGTGTGCAAGCAAGTGTTTGACTGAGAGTAGATCCTAATTCTCCTAATTCCCATCCAAAATCCTTTACACTCAGTAGTTATTGTATTAAGAATATGTTGAAGTATTTGATTAAAATAACATTTTCTAAAAAGAAGCATACACAGGAAATAATTTTAATGATATGTCAATACTTGGAGTGTTACATAATAATAATAGGACTATAATAATGTATTTAAAATGTAGTACGTATTATACCCTCCTTTCTTGACATCTTCTTTATAGAGTATTGAACGCTTTACTTCCAGTCCTAAGAAAACAGCATTGCACATTAAAAGAGGGTGGCTTGTCAAATGCTGCTTTTGAGTCCGACTTCAACGAAATTGAGCATTTAGTAGAAAGGAAAAAAATGGTGGTTTGGGCTGACCAAACTACTGAGCATCCGAAGCGAAACGATCTACCACGGATTTCTGTTCTTATGAGCTTTCCACAGCTTGGGCCAGTTCAATCTATTCCTTGTGGTAAGTGCAGCTTTTTTATTTTAAGGAATTAGTAATGTTATTTCTAAAGAGATCTTTTATATGTCTATTTACAGAACAGTTGATTTTTAGTAGATTTGGCTATTTTGTGAGAATTAATGAGGAAATTCGCCTCAAAATCACTTCAATTGACCAGTATCTTCCAAGGATCTAAGCGCAAATACGCACTGATATTCTAAATAACTCTAGCAGTAAAACTCATTTTACCCGTTTTTGATGGAATAATTTTTTCTCTTTATTTAAAATTTAACCTGTATTAAGGACAAAGGATTACAGTTTATAACAGGGTATTATGTAATAATCTATTCTTAAGCTAAATTAACAATGTAGAATTTACTGTTTTTCTTTTGGCAAATAAATTACTTGACAACTTTTATAAATTATACGTGGGACATATTAATTGCAAAACTAACGTATAATCTTGGTTAAAAAAATTGGGGGGCAATATAGAAGAACATAACAGGAAATAGAATGCCTTCTTCAGTCCTCTCAGAACCTCAATAGTATGCCCTATCTCAGAGAGAAATACTATTACAAGTTTTGTTGTCTGTGCAGTGTATGTGTGTAATACAAATATGTCCGTATTAGATAACCTAACTTTTAGCTTTTAGGTAGGTTTCACATGAATGCTAGCACATTATAAATATTGTTTATTATGCTTTTGTTGGTGGTGGTGGTGGTGGTGGTGGTGGTGTTTTTGTCTCTATTGCTGAAGTGAGTGGCTAGATCACTGCTCACTGCAGCCTCAACCTCTGGGGCTCAGACGATCCTTCCACCTCAGCCTCAAGAGCAGCTCAAACTACGGCGTGCACCACCTCACCTGGCTAATTTTTTCATTTCGTGTAGAGACAAGGTCTCACTATTTTGCGCAGTCTGGTCTCAAACTCCTGAGCTCAAGTACTCCTGCCTCGGCCTCACAAAGTGTTGGGATTACAGGTGTGAGCCACTGTGCCTGGAGGTTTATTATGTTTATTTGTTTTATTTACTTAGTTTATTATGAACATTTTTAGGGTACATGTATGAAGAATCTACCTCATCTTTTTTAATGTTTTGAGAATTCAGAGAATAGATACACCATAATTACCAGAACATATCTATATATTCACATTTGTGTATGCAGAACAGATTCCTAGAAGCTGGTTTGCCAGCTTAGAGGACAGATATTTTATAATATATCCTATCAAAGTGCTTTCCAAAAATTTCTATATCTACAGTATACATAATAGTACATGTTTCATTTTCTCCTACCCAAAATAATAGCACTAATAGCAATATATATCCTTTTAAAATCTGTAACTCTCAGCCTGCTAATAAGATTGCTTCCTCTTTTGTGAAATATATAGTCTTTGCTCATTTGAGTTAGTAGAGTTTTTTGGTTTATTTTTGAGGTTTTCTGTTGGATTGACTTTTTGCTTGGCCCTTAGTATATAGTCACTCTTTGCTAGTTTGATGCTTCAGATAGAGGAAAATGAGAACAGAGAAAACATGTACCAACAGACAAAAGCTCAGTGGAGAAGATAGGTATTCTGCGTGAGCCTATATGAAGAAAATACCTAAACCCAGGGACTCTAATCAAGCAATAAATGATCCAAACAGTGACCTCAAGATTGGGGTGAAAGAGCAATTAATGTGCTAGGTATAAGTAGAGAATAAATCTAAAAGCATGGTTATATACTAAGAATGTATAATCTAAATGCTTAAAAAATATTTAAAATAAAGTGTTAGCTACAGATACAAATGCAAACAAAAAGAAACCAAAAAGTGAAAAACCAGGTTTCTGTGTAGATAGAATTTAAACTTAAAAACACTAAACAAGCCGGGCTCGGTGGCTCAGCCTGTAATCCCACGCCTTTGGGAGGCTGAGGTGAGTGGATTGTCTGAGCCCGCAGGTTCAAGACCCGCTTGGGCAGCGACACCTCATCTCTACAGTAAATCAAAAAAAAAAATCAGTGGGGCGTGGTAGCGCATGTCTGTAATTCCGGCTACTCGGAAGGCTGAGGCGGAAGGATCGCCGGAGCCCAGCAAGTGGAGGCGGCGGTGGCCGGGAGCGGCCTCTGCACTCCAGTCTGGGCGACAGAGTGAGACTCCAACTCAAAAACAAAAACAAAAACAAAAAAACACTAAACAAGATAAAGAAAGATATTGTTTAATAAAATTGACACAACTGAATAAGATATAATTATAAACTCGCATATGTAAATAACATACCAACTTAATATATAAAGCAATAATTGTATAAATGCAAAATAACATGCCAGAAATGGAATTATAGTAGAGATTAGTATACCACTTTAAGAATTGAAAAATTCAAATAGCAAGCTGTAAATTAAAAGCAATTAATTATACCTAATACCTAAAAACTTATATCACTCAATAAATAAATATATGTTGTTTGTATACACTGATCATAATTAATCAAAATGTTAATTTACCAAGCTATGCCTATGAATAGATCTCATCATTCCTGTATAGAATTTGGTGAGGATTTTAATTATGTAGATTCAAGTTTTTCTTGAACTCTGGGAAATAGCCTTCTATTATTTATTTAACATCTATAGAGATTTTTTTCCTTTATAGAGATTTTTACAGGGCACATGTTAGTAATCTAATGAAATTAGAAGTAATTAAAAGGTGACCATAATCTGAAATGTTACCAAAGGGATTCTGAAGAACTTTGTAATAAAAACAAAATCAAGAGTGCAATAACATTATAAATTCGAGAAAACAACGAAAAAGCAGTAAAATGTATAAGAAAAATGTTTGGTTTTAAATTCCTTCATTGTTAAGTAAAATTTGAAAAACAATAAAGTAACCTATTCTGATGTTAACAAATCTCAAAAGATGTAAGAAAAATAGAGCATGAAAAACTAAGAAAGAAGAATAAAGATAAAAGCAGAAAATGGTGTGCAGATACTTTAAAGTTGTAGAAGAATAAATACAGCTGAAAACTGATTCTTTACAAAAACAAATAAGAGATTAAAATAGCATCAAAAATTTTCTGAGCCTATTACAGGTAAAATAGAGCATAAACTTACACTAGAAATGACAAAAGACATAGAACAACAGTGAGATTTAGGGATTTATAAGAGAAAACAAGAAGCAACCATATAAACTACAAAACTGAAATATTTAGTGGGGAATACTGAATTTCTTTACAAAATTGGAGTTACAAAAGGGGCCCCAAGAAAGGTGAACTTGAATAGTCTTTCCGTTAAGAAAGACACATTTTGTCTTTCTTAGGAAGGCCTTTCCCACCACAACATTATGAAATATCTTCCTATGTTTTCTTCAGTTTTTTAGCAGATTTTTTCTTTCTGATTCATTCTCATTACTAATTTTGTCTTTAGTTGTATCCATTCTATTATTTAGCCTTTCTGTTTAGTTTTTTTATTCTTCTTTCACCAATTGCCTTTTTAAATTTTAGTACCTGTTTCTTGTAAATAGAGATGTATTGAGTTATTTTAATTGTATCTTTTTCTCTCCAAATATTACTTGAATTTTTTAAAATTTTCCCTCCCTTCATTATGCATGCCTATTTCCTTCCTATCCTTTACTTTCAAACTGTTGGTTTTCCTCAAATGCCTAGTAAAACTTTATTATCATTTATAGTTATTAAGACTAGGCTGATTGTGATTGGCTGCTCCCTGGGCTTCTTAGTGACTGAATAATCCTATTTCTTCAATGGAATAAGGAGACTGTCTACAGGCTTTCGGTAAGCGACTGAATCATTACCAACCTTCAGGTTTCCCTTGAGGGTCATGCAGGCAGATAAACAGTCCCTCATATTTGCAAAAATATGAAACACCATACTCAAAGAATGGAGTGCTACAGAGCTTCACTTCAGTCACAACTGCCCTCGTGCGCCACCTCCAGACATGTCATTTCTGGATCTTCCCAAGCCTCCACACTACTCTTCTTTCTCTAATACTGGATGCTGAGAGAATCTCCACTTTGTTTAGAGAGTTTCAGCTGCTGTGCTGTTAATGTGCCTCTTTTAATTGACAACAACTTCATAGCCTATTCCCTGTTCTTTGTTTTGTGTGTTTGTAGACTGCTGGAAAGCAGTTCTCGATTATTTGACAGCTGGGGTCCTGATTTTTTTCTTCTAGTTTTCCCGTTAATCTGATTCATTTGCTTTCCAACTTTCAGAAACTTACCCAGGTTCTGCTGTTGGCAACCATTGTGTTATCTATGACTGATGGTCTATCAATAGATTTTTAAGAGGGAGTTGAGGAAAACCTCTACAGGCTTGTGTGTTTTCTTCCCTTCAGTATGTTCTCTCGCTTCCTGTCAGAACTGTCACTCAGATATTTGCTTTGTTGTCTCCTTTTGAATGTTTGGTTTCTTTCATTCTGGATGTTTGTTTTCTGTTTCATTGTATCTGCTATTATCTTTATTCTTCTTTCTACTATTTTCCTCCTTCTGCCTTCATTAGGTTTATGCTGCTGTTTTGTTTCTACTAAGACTAATGTTTGGTCATTAACTTTTACCCTATTTTTCTAAATAATGCACTTATGTCCATAAAGTTTCCTCTAAAAACATCTTTGGCTTCATCTCACGTGTTTTGATATATAATATTTCTTCTTCTTACTCAGTTCAAAATATTTTCTTATTTCTTTTGTATTTTTTTCTTTGACCCATGTAACATCTCTTTTTCTTTTCTTTTACTTTGGCAGAATCTCAGAGTATAAAATAAATGTTCAAAAGACGTAATATTTCTTAATTTCAAAAGCAGTGGAAATTTTTGTCTATTTTTGGTTATTGATTTCTATTTTAATTGAATTGTATTTAGAGAAAATACTTTGTATGATTTTAATTCTCTGAAGTTTGTGGAGACTTGTTTCACGCCCGGCATATATATATAACTGGTATAGATGTGTCGACTGTTCTTTTAAAGAATGTATATTTTGCAGTCATTGTTTGCAATATTCTATATAAGTCAGTCAGGTCAAACTGATTGTGTTCTTCAAACCTTATTCTCA